AACAGAAAAAGACGACGAGTTGTCAGATCGAGCTTTGAAAAAATTCCGATCATATCGTGAATCTAGTGAAGCATAGACAGCGCATTTGCTGCGATCCATCAATCAAGATTTGTGTCGAGAAAACTTACACGATAAACTATCTAATAATGAGATTTATGTCAATCTGGATTGGGTCATGAAGTTTCTTCCTGTCAAAAGTCGGGAACCACAGTCGAAATTTTTCGATAAACGAGGCATCAGTTAACATATTACTGTTGTAATGAAAAACGATGCAAGTGTTGAAGACAAGAATAACATTTTCGATGAAGACATTAATGTCTTAGATGATAGTCAGCAAATCAGTGAGCAGGAAATGGTTGATTTATCTGGAGAAAACAACAATGACAATGATGTCATTGATACGAAAGAGAAACACTCTTTCAAGTATAAAGTTTTTGTACATGTTTTTGATCAGTGCATGCAAGATAGTGAGACAGTGGTCGCTATCTTGAATGACGTTGTATGTCAGATCAAAGAAACTGATCCACAGATAAAAAATGCATTTATCCGATCAAATAATGCAGATTGTTATCATTCGACAAACACACTAGTGTCAGCGAAGCAAATACCGGAAAAGGCTGGTATAGTAATCAAGCGAATGGATTTTTGTGATCCACAGGGCGGCAAATGTCCTTGTGATCGATATGCTACCGTAATTAAGTCAAATGTTCGCAGATATCTGAATGGAAATCATAATGTGACAACCGCTTCTGAGTTTGTCGAAGTATGTCACTCATATAAAGGGGTCAAAGGTGTTTTTATACTTGACTGTCGAATTGAAAGTAATGAATTTAAAAAAACTAAGAAGTGCGCGATCAAGCAGATAACGAACTATTATAATTTCGAGCATCAATGTCAAGGTCTTTTAGTACATCGCTCATGGAACATCGGTTCCAGTCTTGTGATACCGTGGTCACAGTTGAATCGTGATCAACCCATTTTCAATCTAATATCTAGTAAAATAGAAGGGCTTGTTCATGAGTGGGTAGAGACAAAGGAGAGACACCGTGATGAAATTATGGATATCGACAAATGTGATGCAGAAGAGGATGAATCATTACAAAACCGTAATAAGCAAAAGAATATATATGAATGCGATGTTGAGCACGGTTGCACTGCAGAATTTGTAAAATTTGGAAACTATATTAATCACATACTCATTGGTAACCATCGATGTACAGTTGAAAAAGTTCCATTGAAAGATACAGCTATGTAAATGTATCATTTGAATCTCGAAGAAGTCGAAAATCGACGATTAGTGTCTATTGATATGAAGTTAACGGAAGCAATCGATGATGAAACAACTTCTCTTCCGCAAGGTTGGGCTTTGCCTGTACGCAAACCTAGCACAAACTTTTCAGAAAAACAGCGGGCATATCTCAAAAAAAAATTTGACGAAGGCGTTTCTGATGTGAAACATTGGAAACCGAAAAAGGTGGTATTAGACATGGAGGCTCTGAAAGAAAACGGCAAGTTTTACTTTTCGGCGAGCGAAATTTTAAATGAAAATCGGGTTCGTTCATTTTTCTGCCGACTAAAGCGCGAAGGGCAGATGACTGCCACGCGGAACTCGTCAGCTGATAAGTTATTCATCAAAGACAAACTTGTCGAAAATTCTACTCATGATAATGGCAATGAAGAAATTGATGCTGAGATAGAAGCATTGGAGCAAGACTTTCAAGATATTGAGATTGCTCTCCAAGAGATTAAAATACTGGAAAGTTTTAGTATAAATGCTAAGATGGTACTTGAATCGTCTATTTTGATGAATTCCTCAGCTGCCATTTCCTCTACGGCATTAAAGAAAAAGCAATAAAACATAAAATAGACACGGGTTTACCGAATTATGTCCATATCATCATAAATAAACGGACACGGGTTTTTCGAACAATGCCCATTGATAAAGAATAATATTGTTTGCATGAATCCGAGTTTTCCGAGTAACACTCATAAACAATATGGGGACACGGATTTTCCGAGTAATGTCTCTCCTCTTCAAACAGGATGGGCTCTACGTGCCGAAGAGGAGAAACACGAAAAAGGTTTTCCTTAACCGTGGCCAACTATTCTGCATCTTCTATGAGATAAGTAGGCAATATTTAAGTAATACTTGAACTGCTAGTAAATATTCAATGGGCATTAACCGACTTTTACAGTGTTTCTAACTCTTTTTGCGTGACGTGATGCCTGTCTAAGATTAGCTAACCCATCTTATCTTCATAAATTACAATAAGTGTTAATCCATTAGTTTATATAGTGCACATATTCATTAAAATATGCCGTACCTATGTAGAAACTACTCTGGATAATTCATAATCTAGTCAAACTTTTGTTTGTTTTTTTGAAAAAAATCGCTCACAGTAATTTTTTTGCATAAATGCTGTCTGGTTAGTCAACATTGTGAGTCATTTTTCGACCAAAAATCGAACTTTTTTTGAAACCATTTTGTAGAGGAGAGAAAGTTGTACAACATATGTGAAATTCAGTCTGGGGAATCATAGAATGACTGAATGGCAGCTGATATATTGAAAATAGTTGACACATTTTTTACTCAAAAAATTGTCAATCTTAGACA